AAGCCTCCCTGGTGCTGGCCATCTGCCTGGCTGCCTCTGCTCTGCTGTGCAGCCTGGGGTCCCTGGCTGCTCCATCCTGGGCTCCTCCAGGCTCCACGCCTCCTTCCCACACTCGGCTGGGCTCCTCAGCCTCCCAGCCAGTGACAAGTGACGATCTGGTGGCAACACGTGGGGACCTGCCCACCTATGTGGCAATGGGGCAGCGTGGGAGGGCAGTGGTGGGCTCTGTGGGCACCCCGGGCTGCTTCCCAGGGGTGGAAGGAGATGTGTCCTGCGGTACGGGTCCGGAGGGATGGAGCCTGGGGACCCTGACTGCAGCTGCTGCTTCTCCCTCGACAGCTTGGACCTCTCCACAGCAGCAGCCTGGATCTGGGCATGGGGAAGGGCTTGGGTTGGGCACTGCCCGGGTGCCTGCAGCCTCCCCAGCCTGGCAGCAGCCTTCCTCCCTGCCCACGGCCCCCTCTGTGGGGGCTGCCTTGCTGGAGGGGGTGCCCACACAGCTGGTCCCACCTGATGGGGCTGCTGAGGGGACTCCGGTCCCATCTGATGTCCTAGTAAGGACACCGATGGCTACCCCTTCCCAGACCTACAGCACCATGGACCAGTCTGGAGGTGACCAGATGCTGGCCCTTGGAGCAAGCCCTGACTGTCGGGCTGTGCTCCACAGAGCAGATCTCAGCCTGGCTGTGAGCTCTGAGCCTCCTGCGGTGGTCACAGCCAGCCACTTGCCTTCTCGGGCCAGAGCTGTGACAGCAGCACAGGCTCCCAGCAGCATGGCTGTGTCTGATCCATCTACAGCCAGTGGCTTCTCTGATGTCCAGTATGGAGTCTCACTTGCTGGAGCCACAATGAGGAGCTGCAATGGGCAGAAGGAAGAGGTGAGACCAAGCCTTGGCCTGTCTGGGGTTGAGGACCACACTGCTGCTCCTCACCTAGTGCCACTTCCAGGGATGCCCTCAGCTCCGCCAGGAGAGAGGGTGTCCAGCTTGACTAAAACACGTCCTGGCACCATGTGGGTACCCTCTGCTGTGACACCTGAGATGCTCTGGGACACATGGCCTGCTGGCACCTTCCTGCATGGTGAAGCTGCTCTGCTGGAGGACACTGTCTTGGCCAAGGTCCCAGGGAATGTGTCTGGACTGCTGGCCACTATCTTAGCATCACTTCCCAGTGTGGCATCAGTGCAGGGTGTCAATCACCCGCAAGTACTGGCTCCCTTTCCTCCTTCAGCAGAGTCAGGGGGACCTGCCATCACCTTGGAGAAACCAAGTGATCAGTCTTCCTCTCCTGCACAGCAGACTCTGAGATCCACTGAAGCCCACCCCTCCCCAGCTTGGACCAGTGCTGCAGGTCCCAATGTGACTGGGATGAGCTTGGCAGTCCCTGATGCCATCCCAGAGCCTGGAGCAACCAAAGCCCCCTGTGAGGATGGACCTGCTACAATGGCTTCCCCCTCTCCAAGAGCTGCAGGTGTGACACACGTGTCCCCCCTGGGGTCACCTACCCAGAAGCCATCCCTGCATCCAGATCCCTTCCTCACAACAGCCTCTGAGGATGCAGGGCAAAGCCAGGCCACGAAGGTGGTGGAGATGAGCATGCTGCCTGGAACGGTGGCTGTGGCAGAAGAAGCTGGGTGCAGCGAGCCCAGGGCAGCATTGGTAGGACCAACTTCTGCTCCAACAGACCCTACAGAGCCCACCTGTGCCAGCCCAGGCTCTGTGTCTCCCCCCAGCTCCAACAACCCTGCTCTGGAGCACTGCTCTGAGGCTGTATGCCACACCACTATCAGCTTGCCATCTCCATCTTACCTGTTGACTTCCACCGGAGCTGTGCCTGCTGCCAGCTCCCCGCTCAGCTTGCAAAGCTTGGCTGCATCAGCAGGAGGGATGCCTGATGCTCAGTCCGTGTCCGGCCACTCTGTCACCTCCCAGCATCTCCCTGCAGCTGCAGGAGAGGTCTTCACCCCAGCAGAGCTGGTGATGATGGCCAACCCTGGCTCCCCTGGGCTCTCTTCTCCTGCGCAGCCTCTGCACGTGCTGCCCTTGCAGTTCCAACTGTCGGGCATCGCTTACACCCAGGCTCTGAGCAGCAAGGCTTCGGGGAGCTACAGGGAGCTGGAGGAAGAAGTGAGGCTGATGGTGAGTGCAGGAGCTGGTCAGTGGAGGTACTGGTACTGCTGGGTCCAGGGGCTGGACCCCCCTCAACTCTGGCAGCTAGCAGGGCTGTTGCACACCCTGTGGGTGCTATTCCTGGGCTGACGGGAGTCTTCCTGGGATGCTGTCCCTAGGCTGATGGGAGCTGTGGGCATGCCATCTCAGCCATGGCCTTCCCTGGAGGCTTGGCACACCCCGGTGTCCCCTACCCCTGGGCAAACCGAGCTGGCTCCCCTCTGCGTGTACTGCAAACCTCCTGATACCTGCCCTATTCACACAGGGAAATCTGCAAAAGCTTCTCTGTTGACCAGTGCTTCTTTCTTCCAGCTAAGTGAAATGCTGTCCACCTACAAGACCTTCCTGCAGGCAAATGTCCTCGAGTTCATGTGAGTATGCGGCTCTGCCCCGGGGGCAATAGGCAGAGAGGGGTGGGCTTGGCTTGGAAGGAAGAGTTTGCCCACCAAAATGCTCTAGGTGGGTCTCGTGAGGGGCTGTGCTCCCTCCCCAGGGTTGCTGCCCCAAGAGATCCTTGTTGAAAGTGTTTGAGGCTCCAGACAATGCCTCCTGAGACCTCTCTGTGGGTAGGGTGTTAATGTGGGGTGATGAGGCTGTAAAGCCACCCTCAAAGAGGAGGTGGGCTGCCCATCCCTTCATCTACCTCCCAGGAATGGCTCGGTGGTTGTACGAGGGGAGGTTGTGTTCCAGGGGGATGCTCCCACCAACTCCCACCTCATCCGGACAGTCATCACAGAGGCCAGCAGGGGAAGGAGCACCTTCAGCTGGCAACTGGAGCCACAATCTGTCCAGTCTGGTGGTAAGCCATGGAGATCGTCTGACAGCAGAGTGGCTCCCTACAGCTGTATCAAAGCTGAAACCTGCCCAGTTTGGACTTCAGGCTTCACCTTCACTTAATGTCCCCTCTCCTGACCCATGCAAAGCCCTCCAGTGCTGAGGATGCTGGGGACAACATCTGCAGCAGTTGGACTTGTGTGGTCCAGTGCTTCTGCTGGTTTCCCCTCCTTGATCTGCTTCCCTCCTGGGAGGGGGTAGATCCCAAGCCCTTTCCACCTGAAGAGGGATACGTCTTCATCTTCACTCAACTGCCCTGCTGGCTTCTGCTTTCAGCATGTGGCAGAGGATGAGCTCATGGCTGATGATATGTCCCAAGGAAGGTGTAGAAACAGGTGTGGGCATAACTGTCTTCTGAACCCTTCTAGGCTTCAGCCTGGAGAACCTGGACCCAGAGAAGCTGTCCCTCTCTCTTGCTGTCCTCCCACTTGGGAGGGGCAGGCCAAACTCCCTAGAGCGGCTGGTTGGTGAGGTATGGCAAGCCTTGGCGGCTATTCCAAAGGATGATGCTGGGAACCATCCGGGGAAATGGGTGCTGGCTGCTGCTCTGCCTGTGTGGTGGGATACTGTGTACTAAAGCAGTGCCAGGGTGTGAGCTGCTGTCTCCTCTTCCTCAGGTGGTTCAATCTCTCAATGCAACCTACCATGTGAGGAACTTCACCATCACCCAGCTCAGGTATGGGACACAGCTAAGCTTCTCCAAAGCTCATCATTAAACTACCTTCACTACCTGTTGTGTGCTCTGCAGCTAATTAGTGATGCTGTAAAGATGGGGAGGATGAGTTGTACTGTGTTAGGAAACCTGGGAGGGTGATGTGCAGCTGATGGCAAATACCATAACTGAGCACCTTCCTTGGCTGAGTGGTTGTGAGCTGCTGGAAAAAGACTAGCAAGGGTGTGTTTGAGCCTGGTCCCAGCTCTCCTGCCTTGCCTAGAGCCCTTCTCTCCCCTTAGAAACCTCAGTAGCGACCTGGAGATCACTGGAGACATCTACCTTGACACAATTGCCCATGCTGATGTCGCAAAGATACTGCAAGCCCTGACAGCTCTTGTGACCTGCTCTGTGGACCTGACCTCCCTCTCGGTGGAGGGTAAGGACATTCCCTGTGTGTGGTGGGGCTCACTGCCAGCTCTGCTTGCCTAACGCTTGTGTCTTGCCCCTTCAGGGGTCAGGCTTCACCTGCAAGTTTACCCGGTGTCCTTCCTCATCACCAACAGAAACTTCAGTGAGGACCTTCTGGATCCACTTGCTGTAGAGCACCAGGAGCTCAGCAGAGATCTTCAGGATGCGGTAGGCTTGGCTGGTGGGATGGGGTAGTCCTAGGGTGCTGAGAAAAGGAGACCAAGGACCACCGGAGGAGGAGGGACTGCTTTGTCCAAACCAGACCCTCTGCTGATGGTGCTTCAGGACCCCACAACACAGCCAGGGACCTGGAGGTGCTCTCTGGCCTTGTTGTAGTGGCTGTCCCAGCTCCCTCATGGCTGTGAAAGTGGTGGTCTGGTGGGTGAAACACCCGAAAGGCTGGTGAGGAGCTGAGCAGAGCCTCTCTTCCAGGTGGCGAGAGCCCTGAGGGACCACAGGAGCTTCCTGCAAGTGGTGATAAGAGGATTCCTGTGAGTGGGAGCAAAGGGTCTGCTGGGGCAGGAGGGTGAGGCCGAGGGTGTATGGATCCAGGGAGGTCTCCTGCAGACATCAACCAATAGGTCATGGCCGTCGGGTGTACAGTCTCAGCCACAGAAGGGCTTGCAGCAGGTAGCCGAGGTCAAGCATTTACCCACTGCCTTGGCAGTGACTTGCTGGTCCCCCAGGGATGTCCCACCCCAAAGAGCAGATGCAAAATCAATGCCTCCCTGAGTGTGGAGACATCATCCTGGCACGTAGCTGTGGGGTTGTGGTGGGACTGGCAGCTGCTGGAGCTCTTCCCAATCCTGTCTACAGGCCTGGCTCCTTGATCTGCCATGGGGATGTGATCTTCCAGTATCCTGCCCTGACCAGCCTGGAGGTTTTGGAGGCACTTGTGCTCTCAGTTGGGCCAAACAAGGCTTTGGCTGGTTCAGACTTCCAGGTGGACCCATTCTCTCTTGCCGTGGGAGGTAGGCTTCCCTTTGGGGTGTGGGAACATGAGGTTCACCAGTGTGTGGCTCCATGCCTGCGATGCAAGAGTAGATTTGTAACCAACCAGATCCAGATCCTTTGTGCAAAGGGAGGGCGAGATGTCTTGGCTGGTGGGGTGACCAGTTTGTAATGGCTGATGTGAAAGTACAATTCCAGCAACAACTGTGCCCTGTCCTTCTGCACAGCCTGGGGGCACTGAAGCTGGAGAGACCTTGGTGTAGGACAGGGAGGGAAGGGTTATCTGGAAAGCGCAGAGAGGGGGTCAGATAAGTGTTATTGGCTTTCTATATATTGCCTGCTGTGTCCCAAGGGGGTGGGGGGCTGCCACTTCATGGGGTAGAGCCCCTGTGTCCTGCTGGCTCTGCTAACTGCTGTGCCCTGCTCCAGAGGACACCCTGGAGCCCCCCCTGCCTGAACCCGGCTTTCCTGAGTATGGCATGGCCATCATGGTCGTGTGTGGCCTCTGCATCATTATTGCTCCCATCGTCATGCTGGTGGTAAGAGTGATGTCTGTCTGTCTGCCTGCTGGGACAAACAGCCCTGGTCCCTGTGAGAGGGACCTGGGCATGGGTGCAGCCTCCGTGCTCTCCTCCCTAGTGTATGAGGACCAAGAGGCTTGGCTGGCGGGATGTGGTGGTCCTCTGGGACAGAAGAGACCCTGAAGTGGGGATCCAGACCCTCGAAATGGATAACCAAGGGTTCTGGGCAGCCTCTGAACAGGCAAGTGGTCCTTGCAGTCCCTTCAATCAGTTTCTGTCCCTTGGAGCTGGAGCTTTGAAGCACAGCTGGTGTTTCTGGAGGTCACAGGTCCCTGATGTACCTGGTGCTGGTCCTGGGCAATGCCAGGAGTTGGAGAACCCCTTGAGGGTTGGGGGGAGGAGCCCTTGCCCCCTGCCCTTGCTGGAGGTGCGCACAGCAACTTTCCCCCCCTTCTCACCCACAGGACATGGAGGATGCTCCTACACGCTGGCAAAATGACTCTGCCTGAGGAGAGAAGATGCAGCTGCTGGGGGGAGCCCAAAGAGTTTGTGGGGGAAGAGATGCTGAGAAGCTGTGTCCCTGCTCATTGGGCTGTGGCTGCCAACCTCTCCCCGAGAAGGATGCAGGCTCAGGTGGATGAAGGAAGGACTTTGTATGTTGAACTCTATTAAACTGTTTATAGAACATCTAACCCAGCTGTGAAGGCTGTCCTGCAGCTCCTGGAGGGGGTAGGAGCTGGAATGGGTGGCTACTACGTCCCATGTGGCTTGTGCTTTACACCTAGGCCTGTCTGAGAGCTGCGAGCTCCTCCTGTGTAGACCTGGCTTTGAGCAGCCAGAGCTGTGTGCTGCTGGCCTCGCTAGGCTGAGCGTGGTCTTCTCCAGCTCTTGCCTAACTACTCGCCAGTGTGAGGGAGTTAAAGCCACAGAAATGCATCCCTCTTTGGGCTGGGCTGGGGGGATCAAGCCCCAGGCTGCTCCCTGGGTAAAGCAGCCCTTCCTGCTCTGCACTGGGTGCTTCCCTTCACCCCCAACAGCCAAAGCACCCCATCCTGGGGGCTGTTCTTGTGGGCTACTTAACTACCAGGCAAAGATTTTTGCACCCAAAACCTTGATTTTTCCCTTCTTGCTGCTTGCTTTTCCCTGGTGTGGGGGACTGGGCTCTGCAGGGTGGCAGAAAGCAGGCTCTACATAAAGAAATTGCTTCAAAAAGAAATTTTTGTTGCCTTTTTTTAAATCTATTAAGTCATCCAGTGCCACTGTCCTCCAAACTCACTCTCCGAAGAAGGTGAGAATCGGAGCTTGGGCACCCAAAGGCACAAAGCAGCTGCCCCTGTTTTTGTCAGCTTGAAGCTGGAGGGCTGACTTAGAAAATCAAGGGCTGCAAGCTTCCTCTGAACATCATCTTCTCTCCTAGCTGCCACCCACCCCAGCACATGAGCTAAGAGTAGTCAGTGTAACCCAAAGCCTGACCAGACCGGTTCTGCTGTATTTAGGAGGAAAAAAGGAAGCGATTCTATGGAAGCCTCTTTAAATCTTGGTTTTCTAGAAGTGAGACATACCTGAGGGTGCAGGCGGGAACCTGCAGTGATGAAAGCAAGAGTGCCAAAAAAGGGTGAATCCCAACAAATGGGCTGAGTTGGGTGTGAGAGTCTGCGAAAAACAAACCATAATGAAGAAAAACAAGGTGGTGGTGGGGGGAAACCCCCTGGTCCATCCAGAAATGACATGATGGGGCTGTTTGGCAGTGGGAGGTCATGGGGGTGAATGGTAGGGGCCTGGCAGCTGCTGGGTCCCTGCCTGATGCCTTTGAACCCCGGAGTGTCCCTGAGGTCCCACCAGCAGCATTGACCACCCTGAGACCCACTGGGTTTTGCTGAGCGCTGGTACCTTGGGTGCTACCACCTTGTCACCTTGCTCCTAGGTGACTCAGCTGGCACTGGGGACCTGCTCAGGGTCAGTTCCTGGGCAAACCCTTGTGGTGCTGCAGGCTCTGGGCCCCTTCCTCCCCCTCTGCGTCCCCAGCCCTGAAAGCTGGTGTTGACTTGAACACTGTTCTCCCCCTCCTTGGGGAAAGATACAAAGAAGGTGGAATGATGGTGGGGTGCTTCTGCCAGCTCTCCTGCAGGAGCAATGCCCTCCTCATCCTCCTTCAGGTGCTGCCTGTCTGCCATACCTCTCCCAGCACCATGCAGCTCAGCTCCAGCTCTGCAGCCTTCCAGCTCAGCCCCAGCCCCTCAGCTTTTATTTCTGCTCTAGCCCAAAAGGATTTATTTCAGCTTTAGTCTTGGGGCCTTTATTTGGGCTCCAGCCCTAAGCTATTTACTTCAGCCGTTGTTACTTCGGCACCAGCTCTGTGATGTTTCAGCTCCAGGTACAGCTCTACAGTTTTTATTTCACTGTATTTAGTTCAGCTCCAGCCCTGCAGCGTGCTTCCACCCCAGCACCAGGATCTTCAGTTCGGCTCCAGCCCCTGCCGTATGATATTTGCTTCAGCTCCAGCTCTGTCATTTCTTCTCCAGCCCTGCAGTGCTCCATCGTTTCAGCTCCAGCTGCAGAGTCTTTATTCCAGCCCTAAGCTCAGTCTTTCAGCCCCAGGGTATTTGCTTCAGCCCCAGCTTCTGGCCTACAGTCTTTATTTTGACTCCAGCCCTACAGTCTTTATTTCAGCTCCAGCTCTGTGACGTTCCAGCTCCATCTCCAACCCTACAGAATTTATTTCAGCTCCAGCACAGAATTATGGTCTGTGTTTGAGCCCCAGCCCTAGGTCTTCATTGCACAGCTCCAACCGCTGCCATACAATCTTTATTTCAGCTCCCACCCTAGAGTGAGTGCAGCTCCATCTCTGTCCCATCACCTCCAGCCCTAAGGTCGGTATTTCAGCCCCAGCCCCTGGTCTTTATTTCACCCCCAGCACCTCAGCAGATACTTCAGCTCCAGCTCTGTGTCCTGTCAGCCCCAGCCCCGCTGTCTGTATTTAGCTCCAGCCCCAGGGTCTTTATTTCCCCTCCAGCGTTCCAGCTCCAGCCCTACAGTCTGTATTTCTGCCCCAGGGTCTTTATTTCAGCTCCAGCCCTACAGTATTTATTTCTACCCTACCCCCAGGGTTTTTATTTTGGCTCCTGCTCTGCCATGGTTTCATCCTCAGCCCCATGTTTGGTATTTGTGCCCCAGCCCTAGGATCTTTATTTCAGCTCCTACTCTATGGTATCTATTTCAGCCCCACCCTTACACCTTTTATTTCAGTTCCGCATGTTACGATGGCTCCAGCCCCATCTGGGGCCGGGAACGGCCGCTTGGCCCCCAGTTCCCCCCCACAGGTGGTGGCTCTGGGGCTGGTTCTGAGCCCCGAAGCCCAGCCCTGAGCCATGAACCCCTCAGGCTCTGGAAGTGCAGGCCTGGGGCTGCTGTGCCCTGGGCTGGGAGAGCTTGGGACTGGGGGGGAACTGTCCCAGGGCAGCCCCCACCTCTGAGAGTGGCACTGTGCCCGGCTTCACTTGGGGTCTTTCAGCTGTCACCATAGGGCACGTTCGGAATAACAGAATCAATTAATGGTAATGGATTTATTATTACCGTTAATTCTATTATTTTTCCATGCCCGACCCACCGTTGGGAGTGTCCATCAGTGGGCCTGGGAGCTCTGGGAGCTGCAGCGTGGGCGAGTGGGGATGGGCCGGTGGTACCTTGGGCTCTTAACATCTGGATATGTTTTAATAAGGCAAACTAACAGTTAAGGCTAAGGTTAGGATTTCAGGATAGTTACTAACTCCTGAAAAAGCATTCAAGTGGCTTAGTCAAGGAACTGGTCACGGACTCGTTGCACCCAGGAGATCGCTGCCGAGTGGGGGTCAGTAAATCATCTCTCAGCAGAAGGACAAACGCTGGGGAGCTTCAGGCGAGGACGCGCGGGAGCAGCTGGCTCGGATGCCTTGCGTCCGCTGCGAGCGCGGCAGCGACCCGAGGCTGGACGTCCCCGGAGCCGAACTCGGCTGGCTGCATCACGAAGCATCCCAGCGACCCCCAGCCCACAACGCCCCTTCCCCGGGGATTTTTGGGGCTACTCCAGCTTTAAAGCGGGGCGGGAGGGGAACTCGGCGGGGCCCGCCCGGGAGAGGTTCCGGGTCGCGGAGGCGGGGTG